CCTTAAAGCTTAGAGTCTCCAGTAATTGAAAAGGATTGGCACTAACCTGCCCGTAAAACTCATGATCAACATGTTTTAGTACACTCATTCCTTTAATATAAAGCTTTTTGAGCGAGGGTAGTTGTCCGAGTGGTGGCAAGGATACACAATTTCCACAATTATCTAAACTTAGGTCAACCATATTAGAGAACAGAGGATCTCCTATCCAAGTCGGAAATCCTGTACCAAGGTAGCCTTTGATATGGAGCTCTTTTAAATCTTTGTGAGGTTGTAGCATGTCAAGCACTTCTGTTTCAACTCTTCCATCTTGTGAATTATCTGAGTTAACACTCCATTCCATTGATAACACATCTAACCCCTTCTTATCATTTAAATTCGCCTCCCTTGCATCTAATGGAACGACCACGTTATGTAACCCAGATAGGCAAAGCTTCCCCCGAAGATAAATTAAGTTCCCCAACTCTCTTAACTGATGCCCATTGTTTTTAGTAACAATGAAATTGGACAGTGTTTGAAGACTAGCCAACTTACCTATTCCCAGTGGCATTTCTTTTAAGGAATGTGCATTTGTAGTATCGAGATGACGTAGGTCAATTAGGCATCCCAAGTCTGTTGGCAACTTTTTCAATTTTGTACATTCTCTTAACATCAATGTTTGTAGATTGTAAAGAGAGCCTAGTGATTCAGGTAATTCTTCAATGGAGGTGTAGGATAGGCTAAGATACCGTAGATGTTTCAAATCTCCAACCGAATTTGGAACTTCTGTGATGCGGTATCTACTCATATTGAGCACCCTCAAGCGTCTTAGCTTTGGCAATAGATTAAGGGGAACATTGCTTGCCAAATAACACAGAACATTTTGTCTGTTAAATGGTAAGAAAGTTCGTAAGTGCATGGCTTTGTCAAAGATATCAAATTTTTTCATACCCTCATGGTACTTTTGCGTGTAGGATGAATGTCGAACTTTCTTTAGATTTCGGTATTGCTCCTGATCTTTAAATTTATCATCCAATCTTAAACAAGTATCTCTTGCAACAACCTGAGCCAAATCATTGATGAGGTCATGCATCACAAATTTAGAGCTTTTACTGGTACTTGATGGTTGGAAAAAAGACCTTGACAACAATTCTCGGAAGTACTCACCTCCAACATCTTCCATTTGTTTCTTTCTTTGTTTTTGAATGAAACCCTCTGCCATCCACAACAAGACCAACTCCTCTTCCTCAAATTCGTAGTCGTTGGGTATTATGGAGCAGTATGCAAAGCACTGCTTCAAATCTGAAGGTAGATGATGGTAACTTAACCTCAAAGCTGGAAGGATGTCACTTTCTTGTGGTAAATCCCATATTTTACTATGCAATACGTCTTCCCATTCCTCATCTCGTACTTTGTTGCGTAAAAGGCCACCGAGTGTCCTAGCAGCCAGAGGCAAACCTTTACATTTCTCCACAATTTCCTTACCAATTGATACCAATTTTGGATTTGCATCAATGCTTGTAATCGCAAAAGCATGTTGTGCAAACAATGACCAACAATCCTCCTTTGATAGGAACTTAACGTCATGAAGTTGAACAGTTGTCATCATTCCTGCAGCTTCTCTGTCACGTGTAGTCACCACAACTTTACTCCCTTTGGCTCCATCATTGAAAGGTTTCTTCAAAACATTCCAGTCACTGTATTTTTTGTTCCAAATATCGTCTAAAACAATTAAGAACTTCTTTCCAGCCAAAGACTGCTTTAGTTGAACTTGAACTTGGTCCAAGTTATTAAAACTAAATGTCTGGAAAGTCACTGACTCAAGAATTGCTTTTGTTATTCTCATAATGTCGAACTCATCTGACACACAGACCCAGGCTTTCAGATGGAAATGCTTCTGCACAGTTTCATCGTTGTATACCATCTGAGCAAGGGTGGTCTTGCCAATCCCACCCATACCCACAATGGGAATTACACCAATGTTGTTATGACTTGATTCATCCCCCCTTAGAAGCAACTCAATTATCTTTCTTTGATCATGTTCTCGGCCATAAATGCGAGGTTCATCAAATAAAGATGTAGAGTCTGGTCTTTGCCAAGTCTTAGTCGTAGGTGTAGGGCTGGTTCCAACAATCTTAACCAAATTAAGTTTTGAACATTGTTCAAAACTATTGTGCAATCTGGTATTGATCTCCTCAATCTTGGACTTCATTTTCAAATTAAACATGACATCTCTTGGCTTGAAATTAAGGATGGGATTCCATACCTTGCTGGAACTAGCTTGGGGCGGCTTTGCCTTGAGCTTGTGTCGCAAAGCTTCGGTGGCGCACTCATCCACTAAATCATCCAAATCATATGCCAGATCCTGGAGATCGTCGAGCCACAGGTTCACGGGTCGATCGGTCAGTTGCTTCTCCTCCGCGTCAATCAGAAGAGCTTCAATTTGCGACAGCATATTGGTCCAATTAGTCAGCTGGGTACCAATACCTTCAAAGGTGGGTAATTTGGAGGACGCAAAAGAGGACATCTTCTCAAACAGCAATTTGACGAAGGCAGAGAGAAAGATCTCTGCTATAGGCATTGTTTTCGATTACAGAAGGAAAAAACCAGCAGATCAGAAGTGAAGCAAAGCAAAGAGGTTGTTGAGTTTTTTTTCAGTTAAAAAAGTTTTAAGCAGTCTCAAAGATGGCTATATTATTGTGAGAAGAAGAAGAAGAAATTATTGAATGCTGAGAAGAAGTCAAAAGTGGAGTCTCCTTTCATTGGCTCCTGTCCCTCTGCGAAACATATAAATTAAAAATAAAAATAAAATACTCAGAATAAAAGAACCCAAATATTATATTATTGTTAGTGGAAAGAACCCAAATATTATATTACACCAAACATTATATTATTGTTAGTGGAAAGAATCCAAATATTATATTACATTATTGATTGCTGAGAATAAAGTCAAAAATGACGTCTTCTTTTATTGGCTCCCGGTCCCTCTGTGAAAACAACATATAGATTAATTAAAAAAATAAAAGAACTCAAGTACGTAGGTAGGACCCAATTATTTTTTAATATATTTTTAAAGGAATTTATATCTCAATCATGATTTTTCTCAGTTGGTTGAGTGTGACCTTAAAAGTTTTTCAATCTTTATCCAATAATATTGGGTTTTGGTTAATATATTTTCAATTTTGTTTGAATTTAAAATGAAAAAATACTATGAGTAAAATAAAAGAGGAACTAAAGTAAAATTTAAAATCAATTATAAGGACATCAGTGTAATATATTTATTATATTATTGATTCTTATAATTTGTTTTGAATTTTATTTTGATTTTTCTAATTTTGCACTTAATTTTTTCTGTTTCAATTGTTAACAACATTTGATGAACCAAAATATTCAAATTAAAATTACAATAACTAAAATGACACTTTTCTTAAATTACAGAGACAAATGATTTAATTTACAATTTAATTAAATTTTTTTTCTCTTTTGTAACAGATAATTGGACAAGTATTCTAACATGAATAATGTACGTAATGTTGATGCATGTTGAAAGTACATATGTGTTTACATATTGTGAAATGCCCCTTATTAAAGGGATGGGATGACCGGTAATGGGTCGAATTGTTGAATGTTAAAATGTAACATTGTTTAAAATGGAGGAAAAACCTGTTTTTGAAAACTTGTGCTTAATTTCGGGGACGAAATTCTTTAAGGGGGGGAGGTTATAGCGATCCCGGGTTTACCCTTGTTATACAGTGATCCGGACATGTGTCCGTGGATGTTGGTAGTTGTTTATTATCTTGTTTACATCCTTTTTTACTTAATATATGAGTTATGGGATGTGTTGGGCAGGTTTGTTATGAGTTGGTTGAGTTTAGAAACCAAAACTAGTTGCCCAGATTTTGACCTGTCCGCTCGAGCGGGGGTTTTGGCGCTCAAGCAGGAATTGCACCCATCCAGTATTTCCTGTGCAGAGTTGGACGCTCGAGCGTGGGATTGGCCGCTCGAGCGGTATTGTGTGAGTGATGCTCGAGCGGGGAGTTGGAAGCTCGAGCGGAGACCTGGTTCTGTAAAAGTTCTGGGAGTGTGCATCCGCCGCTCGAGCGGGATGGTTGACGCTCGACCGGGAGTCTGTGAGTGACGCTCGAGCGGGGTGTTTGACGCTCGAGCGGGGCGACTGGGTTTAAGTTCCGAGTTTTGACTTTTCAAATCACTTTTTCACTTTCTCTTCTCTCTCCTACTTTTCCAAAAACACCATTGTTGAGCCTCTCACTCTAGAACTCTCTATAAAAATTAGTGGTTAAAATTTGCACATGTTTATTTTCTTATTGTAATGAGTAATAAGCCTTAAGATTTGATATGGTTTGATTTGGTTTGATTAGCTTCAAATTAATCTCTGTGAAAAAAAGTGTCAAAATTCACAAATTTTTATCAAATGATTTTGTATTTTCAAAATAAGAAAGTGGAAATGTTTACACATTTTTTATTGGAAGGATCTTTTAATTTCACTATAAAAAAGGATTATTCCCCAAAGTAATTATCAAAAACAGTTTATTAAACAAAATTTTCATATCAACTTCCGATTTTCTTTTTCTCTTTTTTTACCAAATGAAAATGTAAAATGGTCCAATTATTTGACAGGATCTTTAATCAGGAGCAGATTCAGAATTTAAATTTTAGAGGATAAAAATATATGTAACTTTTCATCAAAAACAAGTATTGTAAATTTTAAATTTTAATTTATACGAACAAAAAAAAAAGTGAATAATATTAGTATTAATTGAATATTTTTTATCAACATAATTGAAAACAAAAATATAATCAGACAGTTTTTTTTTAAAAATTTACATCAACTTAACAAAAATCTTAACTATTATTATGTCTACTCTCCGTCTATTAAAGTTAATTATCTGAAAATATATATATATATATATATATATATATTTTTTGAACTTGAGAATTTGCTAGTGAAATGTAGACAAATGATTGAGAAACTACGAAGAAAGGTTATAGGGCACATATAAAATAGACACCATTGTTATAATTTTTTAGGGAAGAGATTATGTTTTTTTTTTTTTTTTTTTTAATATCTATTTATTGGTAAGTGCTTTGTCACTACTCTCTTTATATTAAAGTTAATTACCTGTAAACGTAATTTTTTTTCTGAACTTGAGAATTTGCTAGTGAAATGTACAGAAATGACTGAGAAATTGCAAAAAAAGGTCACGGGCCACATACAAAATAGACACCATTAATTTGCTACAATTTCTAAGAGATTGCTTAATGCTTTTTTGCACTATTTTTTTTTTTTTAATTTTTTTATTGGTAATTGCTTTGTCATTACTTTCTTCTTTCCATGTGAGACCCACTTTCTTCTTTGTCACTACTTTCATTCTTCTTTCCGTTTGTGAATATCAAATAGCGCAAGAAAAAAAAAGGGTTAATTACAAAGATAGCCTCAAGATTTCACGTGCTTTTAATTTTAAATTTGAGTGTTTCAATTTTGACAAATTAAATCTTGGAATTCTATCCGTATTTCAATGTGCCCCTTCTGTCCATTTTCGTTTGTGTAAGGTAACGGATAATCGTTTTGGGGTTTAAATTTAAAAATACTAAAATTTAAAGTGAAAAACACGTGAAACCTTAGAAACCTTTTTTTTTTTTTTGGGATAATTAACCATAATATTTAATTTTTGTTGTGTGTGTATGTGTATAACTTATATATCTTATTCTATACATACATGTGTGCTTGTATATATAGTGAGCTTTTTTATTCAAATTTTGGCTGATACTCTCTCCATCCCATTTTATTGGTCCATTATTATATTTTTTGTTGTCCCAAAATATATGTCCACTCTGAAAAGTCAAAAATTTAAAATTTAAAATTTTCAAAATCATTCCTTGTAAAGAATTATAAATATATTTAAAAATGAAAGCTCTTGGTGGTAGTGATTTTGATTTGAACTCGTCAAAGGGGTCGCTGGTTTGGGCATTGGTGCTCATGGACTACTGGTGAAGGCGGGGAACATGGAAGAGGCTTTGGATAGTAGTTTGTTGAGAGAGATTGATGAAGGAGATGAAGCAAGTGCAAATGTGAAGGCTGTGGTGGAGGGGTTTTTAGCAGTTGGGGTTTTGTGCACTCATGCAATGGTTTCTGTGAGGCCTACCATTTTGGACGTGATTAAGATGTTGGAAGAAGATGTTAAGGTTCCTACTGTTCCGGAGAGGCCACCACCTCTTACGAAAAATTAAAAATCCTAGTGTATATGGTCTACATAACAAATATCATGCAGATATGTAAGATTCAGTGACATTTGTTGTTTTCATCTAGTGACAAATATTTTTAAGACATATTTGTAACTTGTATGAAATAGTTAGAGTTGGGTAAATTACACTTGACATCCTGCATTCGATCTCATTTTGATCTCCTATTTTTCAATTACCACAGTTAACCCATTCCACTTATTATCAAGTTCCAATGTCACTCTTCCGTTAATTGGGTGTTGAGGCATTTGTTAGGGTACCTATGCAATTTTACTACCTTTCTTCTTCATTTCTAAAATGATTTTCTCTGCCAATCACTGTTGGAAATTAGGCTTTTAGCGGCGTTTAAAAAACGCCGCTATAGGTATCAAAAACGTCACCAATTCTTTTTGTGACGTTTAGTACCAAACGCCGACGACGCGGCCGTCGCTATAACTTTATGGCGTTTGGAAAACGTCGCTGTATTAGTATAGGCGGCGTTTTTAAAAACGCCGCCAAATGCCCTGCCCTGACAATACTATGACGTCAGTATGATTTTAGCGACGTTTTTAAAACGCCTTCATAGGTTTTTTTTAATTTTAAAAATTCCAACCGTTATAGTGGCATTTGAAAAACGCCGTCTTATCTTTCTTTCTTTTTTTGGTTTGGAAATTGTGCTAATTTTATGTGATTGAACTAAAAGAACACCAATAATAAAACTAAATAACACTAATATAAAATAATAACTCCCATTCAAATAACAAATATAGTATTAATTCACTTTCCCATTCAATTTAATATAGCATTAATTTTTTCACAAAATAACATTCAAAAATTGAATTCACAATTCTCAATAAAAAAATTACTACCTTATATACAAAGCCACAAAAGTTAAATCCAATTGAAACATAAAACCAATAAGTACCTTAAAAATGTCTTGGCTTCGAATTTTGGAAGATACATTACAGGGATTTAAAATTATTAGAGAAACTTACTAGAAAAGGCTTATGCCGATGACTATGAATGGCAATATATTAGCTAGAACAAACACAACTAGCTGAGTCCTAATTAATGAATTAGGAATCATTTAGATTATCTAAGGCAATGGCAAATCATTGGTATGCTTATATTAATGCTTCTCCTACGTAAAACATTTTCGGAAAGTGTAAAAAAAAGAATAAAGAACAGGAAATAAACTCGGCCGAAGTTCTGGGTTTTCTCCGCAGCATGCTTTTGATGAGGGCCTGACTGGAAAACAAAAATAGAGCAAGGATTAGATTAAGACACTAATTAAAGGCCACAATATACAAATAAGAACACAATTCCTCACGAGGAAAAATCTAAATTTTCATAGGCATCAAAAATATGCCAAGTTGCAACTTGCATTCATGATTGCATTATAACTTATATATGTATTTATGTGACATTTGTGTATACACTTACCCAAGGACCAAATGTCTGACTCAATTAGGTTTACATTTGGTATCTAATGTTTGATCTTGAGAAATAAACAATACTCCGACTTAGCTTGGTATATGTGATTCGTCCGCAAGAATACATCAAGAAAACAAATCATAAAGTTTTCTAAAAGGAAGTTTGTGTAATTGCAAGTTATATGCATTTGGGCTAATCTCCCACAACACAAGGTCTATTTACACCATAAAATTTTCTAATTTGGATTTTACTCAGCTGCTGTTATCTGAGGCTTGAGGTTTGAATCTACTTTGATGATTATTCTTCATAGGTATGGTAGGGTAAGGTGCAATTTGATACAAATACTTTCTTTGTTGGGCAATAACATTAACAACCACGAGTGCTAAAAGAAAAGCACATCCCCAAACATGTAAAAGGAGCATGAGTGCATAACCACACAACAAAACACACAAAGGGGTGGAGAAAGCTTAAGGCTCATCAACAGGACTCGCTCAATGCATCGCCCCTATTGCTATATACACTTATCAGCATGACATCAAAATATTGAAAAGCACAATATAATGGTTAAGGAATTTTGAATTCATCTCTCTCATGGATTCCTCGAAGATTTTCTACACAATACTTGGCCAATTAAAAATCTGAATGGCATATAACAAAATTTGTGTGTGTGTGAGAGAGAGAGAGAGAGAGAAATTTTATACAAATTTTCAAAAAGTGAAAGATCTTACCCCCAATTGTACAATACATGGGGTGACATTTATGCATGTTCTTGGATCACCATGCAATCAATAAAACTCATCATAGTCAGATTTTTGAAAAGAAAAAAAATAATATGCCCACCAATTTCATTCAGCTCAGAAAACAGAGATGCAGGGGAGAATTCCTTTCCATTGACTGAAACAGGAAGCCCTGAAACCATCCCAATTTGTACATATCTACATGGGGGGAAAAAAACAAAGAAGCAAATGCATAAATCAAGATTTGACTAAATTAAAGGAATTGAAATGCACATCAAACAAGCAAACTTACTCAGGTTGGTTGGGTGCATCTTCTGGCTCAATAGTCATCATGTACATATCTTTGTTTGGCTCATTTGCTGGATCTTCCAGGATGTCTCCCTTCATTGCCCACACCACGGCATGCGCACACACGTGAGAGAGAGAGACAAATTAATTTATAACAATATGTAGGATCTTAAATTCATCTTCTAAGGGAACAATTCTATTAAAGGTCAAATTTATAAAATTTGACAATAGAAAATTAAAAGATTCATAGTTACAATCAATAGATAATTTTGAGAAGCCAAGAACAAAATCTCTAATTCTTCTATCAATAGATAATTTCAAAGATACAAATGTAGCGCACCATGGTAGTAAAATTAATAATAACAACAATAATAATAGTAATAAAAAGTATGAGGATCAACAGAAAAAGATTTATTTAAATACTTGACACAATTTAGCATAATGCTTTTATATATCTCACTGTTCTCATCTTGATGACCAAGCTACAAACCAACCAATCCATCGACAATGACATATGCACAAAAAAAACAAACTAAAGTGAACACGGTGTTGAAACAAATTTCTTTCTAATAGTAAATGTTCCTGCTCATAATTTCTTTCTAATATGGCATAACAGTACCAAACTGCAATGAAAGAATCAACCAAAGAGGTCTGAAGGATAAAACTAATGCAAATGTTGAAACTTGAAAAATGAACCAGTTAACCACAAGACTTACAGAGGATGCAAGATCATCTGATGTCAACATCTTAGCAAGTCCAAAATCACCTGCAACAGGATTAATCAATGGTGATTCATCAAAATACTGACACCTCTCAAGACTATTAAAGAAAGAAAACGTATCACTTACCAAGACGTATGTCTTGATCTTTTGCCAAGAATATATTTGAACACCACAAGAACAAGACTGTCAGTAACATGCAATTTCAGAAGGATAATTCATAAATCCTCAAGTATACAGATAGATGCAACTTACCTTAACATCTCGATGAAGAATATGATTCACATGTAAGTAGTCAAGAGCCATAAGCAATTGAACAAGCTATTTACACAGCTTCTATAAACAATTTAACATCAATGTATACTGAACAAGCTATTTACACAGCTTCTATAAACAATTTAACATCAATGTATCAGTGAACAAAGAAATTGTGAGCTGATACAAATTGAAAACTGCAGAGGTGGGAGGTAGAATGCAGTACAATCTAGATTGCGACAACAGAAAAGAAAACGAAACAATCTAAATGTGATGCTAAGATACTAGAAATATAAAACAACCTCATCGGAAAAAAGAACACCATTTGCTTTCTTTATAGCTTCTGCCCTGTAAAAGACAAAGTAGCAAAAAAGATGACATCATAGATTGCATGTAAAGTTTCAGCCCAAGTAAATGGATTAAGCCAAGTATTGCAGTTTTAGCCAGAAAAGTCACTCACATGTCTCCTCCTTCACAATAACCAATAATGATGCATACATAGCAGCCCTGAGAGCCAAGACAATGAAATTGTGAATTGTAACATCCAAAAAATGACAGACCATATGCAACTATTCTGAAGTGAATAGAAAAATTATTAAGAGAGCACAACTAGCTTAATTAGCTTAAGAGAGCACAACTATTCTGAAGACAGCACAACTAGCTTAATTAGCTTAATGAGCTTAAGAGAGCACAACTATTCTGAAGTGAATAGAAAAATAAATAAAAGAGGAAAGTCACTGTAACAGTTTTACTTCATGACATTGCTTAATTAGCTTCTCAAAACTTTCATAATCTAGATGAGCAGAGGAAAACACATGTTGGATTTAGAGAACTACACAAAATAATATATATATATATGTATAGAGAGAGAGAGAGAGAGAGAGAGAAGTATCCATAAATGATGGCATTTAATTAGTAAAGTTTCATAATGTTAAGACCAATGATCAACTGGGTTAAACAATGAAGCATATGAAAGCAATATCAGCATGACAGGAAGGAAGGAACAAAAACAAATAGAATAGACATTCAGGTAGCCTATTAGACCATCAGAAAACAAAGGATGAAAGAAAATACCAATGTCAATTGAACAACATCAATAATACGAGATATAACATCTACTGACCTTCTCTACCCAAGAATCTTTATACTCCACAATAACGGATTCCTCATTTTGGCAATAAGCTCCATCTACGTAGCGCAAGAAAAACAAAAATATTAGTCTGTACTCTACTCTAGTAATCTGACAATGTCCCAGATAAACACCACAGCAAAAGTTCAGCATGTAGCAAAACCAGCTAATTAATGATAAGTATGCGCAATTGTGTGCATAGCACTTAAATGCTCTTCATTTGACATTTGAAATTAATTGCAATTTCATAGAGTGTGAGAGAGATATGTTGCAATTCAATATGTTTCACAACAATTTGAGAGTTGTGTGTGTGAAAAAGAACTCTACTACAATCTTAACAGTGGCAAGAGAGACCGGCACGCCTTTGTTAGCAAAAACAGTGACAAAGAGAGCATACACATACAGTGATACTAATCAATGAAACCAATTGTTCTCGATAGAAAGGGAAAGACAACTAACCAGTATCAATGAAGCCAATAACGACATTAACTTGGTTCTTGGTGGAATACCCAGGGATTTCCAAAGTTCTATAAAATTTCCTCTTGGGTTTCTGCATCATGAGCTTCAGCAAGTTCTTCTATTTCATCCACGTCACTGTCATGGTCAAAGGAACCTACACCTGTACCAATAACAACGGTGTCATTCCCCCGCAATGTGGATGGAGGAGAGGGAAGGCGGAAAAAGTTTACTATAATATAGAAGTAACGAACTTCCAGGAATGGAAGCATCAACGCAACAAACTCCAGATGAAAGTTTCAAAGAAAACAGTCAAGGAGTTTCTTACATATGAAAATCTTCACATCAGAAAGCTCATGACCTATTGTAAACATGTGTATATGGAAACAAAAGTTTCTGGCATTTAAGAAATATAAGCCACCTACAAATCTCGCATGCCTGAACTATAACAAACTAAAATTGAAGTGCATGAAGCTTCGCACATTCAATTACATCCAAACATAGGAAAGTTTTGACCAAATCTGACTCTAGGACTTCATCAAAACCAGTCCCCAAAAGCTCATATAATGCAGGTCACCGTTTGGTCTTTGACACGAGAAGTTCAACTTTTAAATCAATCAATTAGGCCAGCAATGAAGTTCAACTTGCCTACACTGGTCTGACCAGAATTGTCGCCCAATACTTCAATAATTGCAGTAAAAGAATGATGAAACGTATTCCTATACCTGTAGAAACAAAGGAAGCCGGACTACGGGTTTGTTCCCTTGATTCTGATGTGTTGTTATCAAGAATATAAGGAAGTTCTAGAAACTGCAAGAAAGCTTCTGTTTGAGGGTTCCTACTATATCCTGCAAGATAGCAAAAATGAATTATAACATATATTTTCCTAAGCATTTGATTCTTACATTGAAAGTAGTATGATACCAGTTAAAACATAATGACTCTGAATATCCACAGCATTGTTTCTCAAGCTACCATGGTAGTAAGATTCCGGTAAGATATTATGCAAGGTGAAAAAAAACAAATATCAAACAATACAAGATATTTTGCATTCATTTAGATACAACATCTGCAGACACAACACCAATTTCGTAGAAATAATTTCAAAAGCAAAATTTAAATGTAAATCTATAAGCACTCTGATTTGTGGAATTATAGACTGAGCAGTTAACCATAAAAACCATCACTTAATAGAGCATAGCAAGATGAGATGGCATGTTAGATTTTCTTAATCGGTGCAGTAAGTGCATGACCATGGTTCGATCCCAAGTTGCTGACAAGCTTGCAGAGACTTTAAACCACCTTTAACAAGATTTTCTTTATAAGTAACTTAGGAAGCTATTTATGTCAAGTAAAATAGAGCAAATAGTCCTAATATATTCAGGCAAGAAATGAGCAACTAAAATGAGTGGGAGCCATGAGAGTGAAAGTTCAAAGTCAGTATCAACAGCCAAAAATCAGGATGAACTCTGCCAAAAACCTTCATAATTTTTTCCGTCACTACCGATCAACGATTGGATCATTCATGAGCCTGAAAACAAAATAAGGATGATTATTCAATCAATACATAGAGATACATATATAAATTCATATATATACTTGTATAGAGAGATTTTTAGGAGAAAAAAATTATTCAAAAAAAAGTACAGATAATGTGTACGTAGAGAATGAGATTGTGCGAGAGAGACAGAGATCCAAAGAGATCGAGAGAGAGAGAGGGAGATAGAGACAGAGATCGAGAGAGAGATCGAGAGAGAGAAGAATCGACGAAACTGAGATTGGATTGAAATCGAAATCGAAATCTAAATCGAAATCATGCATATCGTTAGTAGGCGATGCAGATGCAGATGCAGATACAGATGCAGATGCAGATGGTGATGGCGGTGGCGGTGGAGCTTTGAAATCAAAATCATTCTGAGATTGGATCGATCGAATGATGAATCACCGAGCTGAAGAAGGTTGAATCAAGTTGAAGGAATTGAAGGGCTTAGAGAGAGAGAGAGAGAGAGAGACAGATTTGAGGGATCGGTTTCTTTGAGACTCTAGGGTTTCTCAGATTCAAATAAGTTGTGAGAGATCTGAGGGCTTGAAGACAGAGAGAGAGAAACAGTGTAACACATTCGAAGGCGCTTTTTAAACGACTTCATTACTTAAACGGTACCGTTTTAATAAAAACAAAATGTGACGTTTATAAAATGTCGTTAAATATTAAAAATAGTGGCGTTTAAAAAAACGCCGTTAAATAAACGCCGTTAAATCATATATTTCCTGTAGTGAATTCTTTCATCCCTTCCCCCACCCACAGTCACCCCTACCCCTTCGCCCATTCACCACCACCCCATGTCACCAAAGCTGAATGTGGCAAGGTTAGTGGCATCATAGGCTTGTACAAATGATGCACCAAAGCTGAATGTGGCAAGGTTAGTGGCATCATAGGCTTGTACAAATGATGCACCGTCTATGCTGAAAGCTAAGCACATGTCGGGCATCAAGCCACCTGAAGCTTGAGTAGATTGAGGCCCCAAACAAGGAATAAAAAATTTATGATGAAAACCAAAAAAAAAACGCAACACAATAAATAACTGTGACCTAACCAAGAACAAACAGGTGGTATACGAACCCATTGAAGTTTACCGTCAATTCTCCAAACGATAAATGATGGAATGTCTATATTGTACTTTGACTAAAAGTGTAATGGATTTACTATTGCAAGTAGAAAAATGAGAAATTAAAGTGAAATTCGGTGTATAATACATGGATGCTAAATATAATTTATCCTAGAGGGCCTAGACCACGGGTTGGCTTAGTAGAAAAGGTGCTCCCTTACCAGGTGTGAGAGATATTTGGGCTCAAATCTTGTTATTTAATGCAATTTATCGTTTTCCTATTCTGGTCCTACACATTCAATTAAAAAATAATAATAATAATTTACCCTTACTAGTTACCCGAAAAAAAAAAAAAAAAAAAAAAACAGAAGAAAATATTTTGCATAAAAAAATTGGAAATCTAATAGATAGAAGAAAACTTAAGATCTACTTTGAAGGGACAAACTTCACATTTTCCAAGGTGCACTTGTACTATTACTAAGAAACCTGTACGTGGAATCATGCTTTAATGCTATATCCTCAAGATGAAGAACCTTTAGTAAAAATTATGCTAAGTCTTGATCAACGGATACTTAGCAACAATTTTAGCCAAGCAACCAAACAAAAAATCAGATGACTGTGTAAAGGTTTTAAAATGCCTTGAAAGTACAAGGACTTCTTTGGAATAATTAACAATCGAAAAAGTGAAGTATCCAAATAAACAAAGACAACTCCAGATAAATTATCTAAGTTTACAAGAACTACAAGTCATAAATTACAGAGAAAACTACTCCTAAAAATCAAGATAATCTACTCCTAAAAATAAAGAAGACTCTGAAGTTTGATGATTTCTTGATCCCCTGCTTATTCCTTTTTCAGCCTATTTATAGGCTTGACATTGCCACAAACTGTTGCTAACCATGTTGTCATGATGATGATGATGATGATGATGATGATGATAATAATAATAATAATAATAATAATAATAATAATAATAATAATAATAATGTGGTCATAATAGGTCTTTAAAAATGATTTATGGTCTGAATTGACAGACCAAAATCAATAAGCCATAATCAATGAGATTAAATTTGGCCATGATCGACAGGTCACAATTGACAAGCCACAGGCAATAAAATTATATTTGGCTACAATCGATAAGCCACAATCAATAAAATTAGATTTGGTCATAATCAATAGGCCATAATTGACAAAAAAAATATTTATGGTGCAAACAATACCCCCAACTCTTTAAGAATGAGATGACTCGAATTCTTGAAGAGTTGTAAAATTTAAACTTGGCTTATGAAAATACCTTCTTTTTTTTTTCTTTTTTTTTGTGTGTGTGTGTGTAACCAATTATGTGCCAATCAACAATAATTTCTTTTCACATCATTGCCAGTATCACATGGCCAATAAACTTTTCAATTGTCGAAATGATATCTAGACTCATAAGGTCAACTGGGGAAACAATATAAGCCCATAATTGGCCATCTGGATTGATCGACAATGACCTAATTTTGAAAATTTGAAACCCACAAAAAGAAAACATTCCAACAGTATGAGTCTTTTTTTGTATAATATCTCTAAACAAATTTTTCCAAACAATATTGGCTCATTAACCATTTTATTGAAACCAAGTTTTGGTATGATCCACATATCTAACAAAGATTTTGAATAACAAAAGGCATAGATAGCCTTAAAAACTCATACATGTTGACATCTTGGACAATGTCAAAAATTTAATTGTTTGAAATTTTTGCCAAAATCAATTTTTTCTTGTAAATATAAAATTTCATTCTCACACGGATGCATTTCATCTTGCCTTTGAATTCTTGTCATCATTCCAAATTAGGAAGATGTCTCACTGGGCGTATAATAATAATAATAATAATAATAATAATAATGTGGTCATAATAGGTTTTTAAAAATGATTTATGGTATGAACCGACAAACCAAAATCAATAAGCCATAATCAATGAGATTAGATTTGGCCATGATCGACAGGTTACAATCGACAGGCCACAATCAATAAAATTATATTTGGCCACAATCGATGAGCCACAATCAATAGAATTAGATTTGACCACAATCAATAGGCCATAATTGATAGAAAAAAATATTTATGATGCAACAAGAACAGAACACAAAATTTATTAGTCTACTAGAAAAAAAACAGCTTGTAGAGAAAATTTGACTACTTAACAAAAATGAAGGCATGAATTGCAGTGTTTACCTGTTTGGTAGTGTTTTTATTTTCTACATTTTGGTTTTTTGCATAGTAGTCAAATTGGGATCGAATCGAGAATCGAAATGGGATTGTATTGCATCGCGAATTGAATCAAATCGTGAATCGTAAGAATTCAGTCACCTTTTTTAAATTACATAGAAAAATATATCTACACACTTAAATATTAAATATATCTACTATTTATGAAATATTTAGACTTAAATCAATGAATATATTGTTTTAAATGATGATCATGTGGTCTAAGTAAAAAGTTAACACGGGTTCCCTTATTTACTAATTCACATTTTCCTTACTTCTTATCAACCATTCTTAATAATGAAAGCAAACAAAGACAAATTTTCAATTTCCAAGTAATAATAACTCGACAACGATGTTTTTAAACTTTTTACGAAGTTAAAAAATCAACTTCAAATTTTTTTTTTTAAAATCTCACTTGATGAGTTTAAAAAATTCATTTTGTAAATGTAAGTACTTAGATAAAATTGAATATATAAGCCTAGAATATTGTAGAGAGAGAAAATCTTTTTTTTGGGCTAAGGTTTGAGTATTTGAGAGTAAATTGGGATGGAGAAATTTAAAAGATGGCATATAGTAATCCAAAAGACCTTAAAAAGGTTGTGTGAACCATTTTCCAACAATAAAAAAACAAAAAAGAAAGCCAAACATCGATTTTAACAATTCACAATTCAACGATTTGGTTCACCGATTCACCTATAATTCATAGCTATTTACGATTCACACAACCTGTTCATATCGATTACTCACTGAAACAATTCGAATCGTACGATTCTAATAATAGAGGTTTTTTGTCTTTTCAGAAGCAAAAACAACAAAAAGTTTAAAAATACCCATCATTTTTATTTCATTTTCATTTTGGTAAAATTTTTTTTTTTCAAACATTCAAAAACAATTTTTTTGGTGTTTCCTAGAATGTGGGTTGCTTTCAGAAAAATTTTCTGAAAACAGTTTCCCAAACAAGTTTCTATATTTTCTAGAAGGTAAAATAGACAACAGAAAAGGTTAACACAACCAAACATGTGACGATATTCTATTGCAGGAAAAGGTGGTGTTAAGGGTCCGAAATGACAACAAAAGACAATGCAACAAAACCACAAGAAGATAGTAGGCGTACCAGGTAATCTTGCCATTGATGCAGTAACACGCCCAACTTACGCTGAGGAAAAATATTGGGTTGCTGAGCTAGTAAACATAAACCTGATTATAGGAAGGAAGAGGAAACAACAAGGAAATGTTAGATTATTGCAAAGTGAATCTAATTGTTACTTGAGGATTAGAGTTTGTGGTATTTTCATTTGGAAATTTAAATACACAAAACAATCTATTTGTTAGAAGATTATTCTTTTATGATGTTGCATCAATTTCAGTAATGATCATCATTACTAAGAAGAAAACCTGCATAATTCCCAAAATTTTATTCCACTGCCAGATAAATTGCTTTACTAAGATATCCAAGACAAAACAGGAAAACAAAAAAGAAAAGGTAGAGAGATAGTAGTGCGTATGAAAGAAATCTCAAATGACATTAGGGCATTAATAAGCTGAATACAAATAATTGGATTCTTATTTCATACAAAAATATTGGCTATGTCTATCAATCTCTGTGATCTCATTCAAATAACGGATTGAACCTCTAATGAACACTGGCAACATGAAAATAGCCGTCACTTGAATACAGAAATGAAGCCTGTGAAGGGAATTACAGATTCAAACAGATATTTCTACTACCCATCATTCTTATATCTATAAATTACAAATGGCAAATAATTGAAGGCAACAAAGTGGAAATAACCACAGGGACCATTAAACCTGCTTGCTTAGGAAGACAGTTGTACACTGCTTTACAGTATCCTCAAGGCTGGTAACTGGGAATAGAACATGAAAAAAGTTCACATTACCATGATTATAAAATTAAAATGGCAAAAGAGAAACATTGATATTGATATCCATTTAAAAAGCATTTGGGTACTCAATGAAAATGAAACTATTCCATCTCAACTTGCAATATTTAATCCATTTTGTTTTCCATAGCATTTAAAACAAGTACAGCCTGTTTAATGTACAAAATCATTCGGAACATTATAAGAAAATATCATCAATTTTATTTCTTTTGTTGATGGATCCATTTTCTTTGGTAATTATCCAACTTTAACAAATGAAATAGATGCATGTGGATGCTATTGAAAACAAAATGAATTGACTTGATTGAAGATTTTAGATTTCTTTGCAAATGGGACCATATTAACAATGCATTTGGTTCTCTAGATGCTATGGCAATGGAGAACTCCATGGTGTATTGAACTGCAAAAATAAGCTGAAATATAGAGCAGAC